ATATATATATATATATACGCACACCTAAAATGTCAGATAAATATATACATACATATAGGAGAAGGAAGGGGGAAGAGACAAGAGGGAGGGAGAGGGGGAAAGAGAAAGAAGAGAGATTTACTTTATTTTAATGAAGACCGTAGGACAGTGAGAACTGGCAAGTTAGAAATTTCTAGGTTAGACCAGCAGGATTAATGGTACAGTCTTTTTTACTTGTTTTTTACCATGCTGGAGATTGAACCAGGGCTTTTATAACTGCTAGGCAAGCATTCCACCTCTGAGTTAGACCCCGAAATCTAATGTTATAGTGTGAAGGTAGAATTTCATGTTCTTTGGGAGAATCTGTTTTTGTTCTATAGGCTTTCAACTGATTGCACGAGGTCCACCACATTAGCAAGGTAATGTGTTTTCCTTAAAATCCATTTAAAAGCTAGCCAGACCTACCATTTTCACAGCACCATGTTACACCAGGGTTGGCCGATCACGTGGGTGCCACAGCCACAAAAGTTGACACAAAATTAATCGTCACAACACCACATTTGATAAAGTGAGCTTTGGGGGGATTTATTTGATTTTTGGATCTTCTATACCACAATGTACGTCCCACACATAGTGTTCTCCAAATGTTCTGGCCAAAGATCCCAAAACCAGAGGAGACGCATTGACCTAAGACTTGATGACCAAAAAGAACAATGAGTGATGAAGTCTTTCCTAATGAAGTGTGGAACCACATCTTCTAGAGGCATTCATTTTCTTTCTTTAAAGAATTTTATATGATGTAAAATCAGGGAATCTAAGGGAGGAGTATTATCTGATCTTAAGTTGATAAAATGCGAATTACTGACCCAGTTTTTTGTTGTTGTTGGGACTGAGTTTGAACTCAGGGCTTCCCACTTGCAAAGCAGGGACTCTACCGCTTGAGTCAGGTCCCCAGTCCATTTTGCTCTCCTTATTTTGGAGATGGTGTGTGTATCTGTACGTGTGTGGCGGGGAGTCTCAGGAACTATTTGCCTATGCTGGCCTTGAACTGTGATCTTTTCCAAGTAGCTAGCCTCCCGAGTAGGTAGGATTATAGGTGTAAGCCATCTGTGCCTGACCTTACCCAGCTTTTAAGTGTGCAAAAATAGCCACGAATTGCCAAGTTATTCTCAAAAAACTCCCTCAAACAAAACTACAGTTTCTACATCAGAGGGTACAGCTGTTTAACCCAAAGAAGTTACATGCAGACATCCGTTTGTTTCACTGGTCACAAGGTGACAGATAGAAGAGATAGGAATGATGTCAAGCTCACCTTCCCCAAAGACTTAATGGGAGTCAGAGTTCCAAAATGGTGGGCTGAGGGAGCTGAAGGCTGACTTATTCCAATTTCTACGATTTTATGAAATATCAGGGGTGTCTGAACTCACAGAGAAATAACACGTGAGCAGAATCATTCCCCACCCAAGTCATATTTTACAGAAACAAGGCAGTGCCTGATGGTAAAGGTTGTTTGCAGGCCTTTGTCTTAATAAAATGCTGGCAGCCCTGCTGTACTGCAAGGTGACACTTGCAAGTCTCAGAAGGGTTTCCTATTAAGTTAAGCAGATCATAACACAGCCGAGTGAGCGAGGGAGATCTCTGGGCCTGGGAAGGCCAGTTTAGGAGAACTGGATTTCTGATCCAGATAAGACTCTTGGGAAGGGAAGGAAGTATGCATTTATATGTCCTTAGATATTCTTTGGATCTCAGTATCCAAGTGGTCTATTTACATTTACAGGTCTTGAAAAGTTTTATTTGGTAGCAGAAAGTGTTTATAACTGGATCTTTACAAAAGAAGATGTGCAAAAAGGGAGAAGTAAATTTATGCATGAGATTTTGCTGTTGAAATTTGGGACGATTACCATCCATCTAGGTTATCAGGATTCACAAAACAGTATGTCGTTTTTATATAAAGAAAGAAGGAACTGGGTTAATCCCTTAGTTAGTTTGTTGAATCTCATTATAGGTTAAACTGAGCCTAAAGAAAAGTAGGATGAGAAGACACACTAAGCTACTTCAAAGTATCGTAATATGTCAACACAGTTGGACAGGCTAAACCCAGGCTCAGTCGCCTGCCACTGGCTTTCATCACATCAAGTCCCCCATCCCACAATATTTATTTACATCAGGCTTTGTAATCTCATGGTTCAGTTTTTAAAATTGCATAAAAACTTGCAAGTGATACGAGATGCTACTGACTATAACTGTTATCATAGGATATATCGCTCCGTTTTTCTCTCTGTATCCAGCTTACCTGGTCATTTGTACAGTCCTCTCAGGGACCCATTACTGAGACTGGAAGACAAGACCTACCACAATGATCCAAGTCAGCGATAAGTGTCAGTGATGAGTGTCAGCCTACCTCATTGTTTGTAAAGCTCCGAAGGCTTGTAGTCATCAAAATACCCATGCCTAAGCTTTGTTCATACTAGAGTTTGAACTCAGGGCCTCAAGCTTGCTAGGCAGGTGCTTTTTTGCTGCCTTGAGGCACTCTACTACCCTGTCTGTGTTGGATATTTTTGAGATAGAGTCTCATGAACTACTTGCCATGGCTGGCTTCGAACCACATTCCTCCTGATCTCTGTCTCCTGAGTAGCTAGGATTACAGGCGTGAGCCACTGGCACCCAGCTCTAATGCCTAAGCGCTATGAGTGTTTGGGAACACCCAAGAATTAGAATCCGTCTATGGCAGAGTGTACAAACACAAAGTAGTTAACATTTTAATGAGATATCGGGGGAAAGCAGACAACTGCCCAATAATAGAAAAAGCAAAACAAACTGGGGATGGTGGTCACGCCAGTAGTCCCAACACTTGGAAGACCAAGGCAGGAGGACTGTGCATTCAGCGACAGCCTGTCTCAAAACACCAAAACCCAAGCAGGATGCTGGTGCCCATGCCTGTAATCCTAGCTATTTGGGAGACTGAGATCTTGAAGATCAAGGTTTGAGGCCAGTGAGGACAAATAATTCATGAGACTTATCTTTAAAATAACCAGAACAAACTGGATTGGAGGTGTGCCTCAAGTGATAGAGCACATGCTTTGTGACCATGAAGCCCTGAGTTCAAACCCCAGTCCCACTAAAACAACCCCCCCAAAAAACCCCCAAAAACAAAAAAACCCAAAACACCAAAAACCAAACCAAACAAAAAACCAAACACTAGTGTTCAGTTTCCAGTTTAAGTACATTTATGAATAGGAAGATTGTAAGCCCCACTGATGAAATATACAAAGTCCAGAAGCAATTATGACCTTAATGTGTAAGCACAGCAGAATTTCTGTATCAGATAGGTCTGTGGTTAAATATTATATATATATACACTCAGACTACCTTTATAGCATTCTCAAAAATGCTCACAGAAGAGATGTAGTGTATATTAAAAACATCTTTTATAGCTTACTGAATACCTTCTGTGGTTCAAATTCTTTAAGATTGAATTTTGAAATTTTTTTTTTTTTTGTGGTACCGGGGAACTCAGGGTCTCACACTTGATGAACAGGTGCTCTAGCACTTGAACCATTTCACCAGATCTTTTTTTATTGGGTATTTTTGAGATAGGGTTTCACAAACTATTTGCCCAGCCTGGCCTTATCCTTCGATCCTCCTGATCGGTGCCTTCGAAGAAGCTAGAAGTACAGTGTGAGCCACCGGCACCCCCTGAATTCTGACTTTCTGAAAGGCATTCAAGTCTTCACAAGATCTTACAGTATTGCAAAATAAGGATTAAAGGAAGAGAACACTGAGCATGGGAGGAAAAGGTTTCTGACTTATAATATCCTAACAATCATGTCGTTTACTGGTTCTCATCCCGTTTAGTCAAATCTAGCTTCTTGGAGATGAGTTAGGGTGAGTTAAAAGGATTTGATTTAAACTTGGTTTAAGGGCTTATTTCAAAACTCAATAAAAACAAATTCCAATGTGTTGCATATGCTTTTACCTCAGTGGAGACTGCTTTTTGTATTAACTTCTGCAACCAAGATCAAGGCCTTTGTGTAGACCTTGGAACAAAATTTCAGCTATCTCTAATCAATGAATCTCCAGGGATTTGAGTTTAAAACCTGTAGTCATTTGCACTTATATTTGTGTAAATCAAAAAAAATAGGGGGCAGGGGGCATTGGGGTTTGAACTCAGGGCCTCACATTTGTTAGACAGGTGTTGTACCACTTGAGCTACTCTGCCAACTCTTTTTTTTTTGTGATTAGTTTTTCAAGAGGTTCTCCTGAACTATTTGCCTGGGGCTGGCTTTGAACCTTGACCCTCCTGCTCTCTGCCTCCTGAGTAGATAGGACTATAGTCGTGAGCCACTGATGTCTAGCAATCAAAATTTTCTTGATAGTACACAAATAAAATGAGGCATAGAGATAAATCAGCTGCTAAAGTCTCATCAACCATCTCTTACTCCACATTTGCAGTGTTCAGAACTAATTCAGTAATCTTGCTATTCAAAGTAATGAGCTAAAGATAAGTAAACATAAATGGAAATTCAAAATGCATTTATACTGATAAAATAACTTTTCAGGCTGTATGTATGAGTAACATAAGAATTGTAAAAATTTTACTGCTGAAAAATATTTGGAAAATATTCCTGTCTAGGTAACTGTTTTTTAATTTAGCTTGTTATTCAGTACTTAATGTAATTCAGTTTTCTAAACTGCTTTTTTCTAAATTTTATCATTTTTACATTTACTTACATGTGTATACATTATTTGTGCCACCTAGCCCGCTTACCCCCAAACTGTCTTTCTAACTCAATTTTTTTGTCGCTTTGGTGCTGGGGATTAGATTCAGGGCCTCATGCATGCACAGTGTACTCTCTACCACTGAATTACATCCCCCACCAGACCCTCACTTTTTAAATTATTCAGCAAAATGTGAAAATTTCTACAAATTATAGTGAAAAATGGTAACTTCTTAAAAGGAGAGGATAACTAAAAATATTCATAATTGCTTTGAACCCTCCTGAGAGTTTTAAAGAAAGGTTTTATTTCTGAATTAATCATATATTCATTGGTTTTAAACCTCAAATCTGTTCATCCTCCAGGTAACAGAATTTAGTACTGTTACACAATTCTACAGTGTGTTTTGACAGCTTACGCACATTTCCATGATTTTAGGTTTTTTTGTGTTATTATAAAATAACTTGCACACTAAACTCAAACAATCTTTTTTTATTTAAAAAGTCACCTCAAAATTCGGTTTTGGGTTTTAGTTTTTGTTTTAAAAGAAGCAAACATTAAAAAGCATTAAATGTTACTAGTCTACAACAGTCTTTTCATGACACTTAGTTTGGAGATTGGGGAAAGAAACCTAGGACGTTGGTGAGGCATGGCACTATGCCCAATGGGCCAGAGTCAGGGCACGCTTGTGTATTCAGGCAACAGCTGGAGGTCGGACTGGAGGTGGTCGTGCCTCAGCTGGGGTCATCCCTATCTCTACATCCCCTCCGAAAGCTGTTATTAGTAAGTCTCAAATCAATACATAAAAGATTGTATGTAACTTAGGTTAAAAAAAAAAAACCAAAGCAACTATACCTGCTTTCTAAATTATGTGGCAAAACCAAGACAGATGAATCTAACTGTAGCCTCACTATAAGTCATAGTCTTGATATCTGTGTCACAGGGTCATGGGAGAGGTGGGACAGAATTATACAATTCCTCTGATGGTTCCAGAAATCTTGCTGGACAAGGTCAATGACTGTAAGATTTCACATTATAGCAAGGCTCCAATATTTTGTGAATTGGGGCAGTGAATATAAATCACAGTACAAAATTCTTAATTTTTTAACTGCAGGTGCTACATATTAGAATTACTAATATAACATGTATTTATTTTTAAAAAATGCAGATATAAAACACTAATTGCATAGGGATTTAAATATAAGGCCAAGAAGGGTATAAGTAAAAAAAAAAAATCATAGGAAGGGCACTATGGTGTCTTAAGAGAGAATTCTGTTCTTGGAGTACAAATATGAATTGCTGTCTAATTAAAAATCACAGTATGTCTCTGTAACTAAGTGAGTGTCAACTGCTTCATTAATTCCAAACTGGAAACCAACATCAGTTCTGACAAGAACACAACTAAAGCTCACTGTCCAAACCTGACAGTGCACTGGCACACTAGTGCCTGGAGCGTACCTGATTAGTCATAGAATCTACCTTCTGCAAGTAACGTTTAATACCTGTAAAGAACTGGTAGGGTACATTATCACTGCCTACCTCCATGATTTGCAGGCTTACTTGATAGTGTAATTATATTCAGTCGTTCAAAGGTGCAAGATTCCACCCTGCAGAATCTTCACTCAATGAACCAAAAACACTGCCATTAACAAATTATAACAAAGTCCCATCATTAGAAACTCAATGTACATGAACCAGAGGGAACTAGGACCTGACACCGGTATATACATCATCTTCAGAATTTTGGAAGGCAATGAAGAAACGAGTCCAAGGAAACTGTGATGCTCGTGACCACCCAGGGCTTCAGGTAGAAAGCTAACTTGTGAATCTACTTCTCGTGATTGTTGTTAGACTTCACTTCAATAGCAATTTCCAGATCTCAGAGTAGCTTAGTTAACTTAGTATTGTTATGTAGAGTAGTGTGAAGGAAAAAAACAGAACTCCCAAAGGAATCCCGCGAAGGTACACTGGAATTATCAAAACCAATGTCTTAAATGACAAAGTGCATAGATACAGTAATACTACTATTGTGTTAACTAGGAGACAAATATGTTTCTTTGGGAGTAAACGATGCTATTTTCCCATGTTATTTACATGCTTCGAGTTGTTCAGAAACCACAAAGCACCGTGGACAGCCTAAATTGCTGCTGATGTCTAAAACATTCTTTGACTTCAACTCTGCTCACTTAGGATCTTCCTAGAGGACAAGTGTCCAGTCATCTTCAGACAGGAGTCAGCTTTCCCGTTCTGCCCCTGTTTGTTCAAAGTGGCAGAGCTGGCATCTCATTTTACACTCTTGGTTGGTGTGTCAGACTCTGTGGACTGTCGCCCGTCTGTCCAGGCTTCCCGCGTGCTCTTCAGTGCCAGGGTCTTCTGCTGGTCCACCACAACATAATCTACCCTCTCATCGGCCACACTGCTGCCAGAGCCACTGCTCTTTTGCTAAGAGGCAAGGAAGAGAACAAAAGGAAAGGAGTGAGGACTGTGTGTGCTGCGAATATCCTTGAAACTCTACCGGGTCACAAAAATGGCATTACTCAACCATGCTGCCTTTCCTAAGTATTCACCGTTTTCCCTTAAACGTAAAATACTGTAATTTAAAATTTCAGTAAAATTATTATAAAGAATTATCCAGCGCTGACAGAGTGGCTCAAGGAGTAGAGTGCCTGCCTAGCAAAAACAACAACAACAACAAAAATTTACCCAAACTAGTGCTTCCCTCACAGATGAAATTCATAGAAAACAAAGACAGCAAATACCCGGTTCATTTTGCTTTCATTCTTAGAAAACAAGTTAACGAAACACAGAGAAATGATAAAGTAAAAAAAATATATCATTTAAAAAACTATCATTTGGCAAGAATTATGGAAAATAAAAGTGAGAAGTTCTAACACATGCCTGATCAGAAACCTCAAAGGAGAGAATTATAAAGTAAGTGCAGGGCTGAAGGTATAAAAAAAAAAAGAATCCAGAAAAGCAGCACAACTTCTACCAAGCAGGATAAATAAATAAGAAGAAATCTGTGTCTAGACACATTGGTGTGAACATACCAAACAGCCAAGACACAGAAAAAAGGCTTAAAGACTGGCAGACAGAAGAGCCAGAAGACCTGTACAGAGGAGGTGCAACTGGACTGCGGTCCAGCTTTCTACTGGATGGCAAAAGCCAGATGACAGTGGGACGGAAAGCACTGTGGCCGCCACAAAACTCGTGTTCTGAGAATGAGCTGACATTCCAAAGAGGGACGGCACGGATGGATGACCTAGCATTTATTAAGGAATCATTTCACCAGCAGCCACTAAAACTGAACAAAGCACTTGGTCTCCATACCACTAGAAAGGAAATTTACTCGTCTGACCATCCTGCTGCTGGGCGAAATACAGGAACGTTAAACAACAGACCTGGGCTGGGATGTGACTCGGGCAGAACCCTCGCCGAGCACCTGCAAGGCCCTGGGATCGACTCCTAGTGCCAGTAACTAAATAAGCTAATTCATCAACTAACTAAAGAAACATAAAACATGAATCGTGGGCTTCACTAAATTTAAATTAAACACCATGACATTTCCCCAAAGGCGACAGCCCTTTAAATTTTAAGCATGAGCTAACTGTTCCTACAGAACCGGGCTGCACTCACTTTGCGCGGTGGTGTGGACTTCCCGGAATCTAAATCCAGATCGAGGTACTCCACTTGCTTGTCTCCTTTGGGCTTGACCATTGGACTGCTTCCTCCATCAAGGCTGTTACTGCCAAAAAGATTCTGAAAGCACAGTACAAGGAAACCAGGTCAAACATTCACGAGACACACTCCTCAGCTCTCTTTTTTCTTTGAGACGGGGTCTCTTGCTATGTTGTTCAGGCTGGTTTTGAACTCCTGGGCTCAAGTGACCCTCCTGCTCAGCCTCTTGAGTATCTGGAGCTGTCCACCGTGCTCAGCACTTATTACTCATCTTTTTTGCATCTACTGAAGCCTAAATACTTGTTTCCAACAGGACATAGCTTGAAGAAATGTCTACTTTGAAAATTAAATTAGTATTCAGGACTTAAAAAAAAAGTAATGTTGATTATGACTAAACCAAGACTCAGACAACAAGCCACAACTGGAGTGAAATCTGGACCTAAACGTTCTTAAAATTACACATGGCTGGGTGAGGTAGCACATAACTGTAATCCTAGCTCTGGGGAGACTAAGGCTGGAAAGCACACATTTCAGGCCAAACTACACACAGCTACATAGTGAAGTTGTGTCCCAATAAAACCCAAAATTACATATACATGTATATAGTACTCAATTACATTTTTAAAGTATAGGATCACCATGGCTCTTGCTTTCAAATTAAATTAAATATCTTTCTACATTTAATTTTAAGGATTTTACATAAAAATTCGTTTGAGTAAGTACGTTAACAAAGTATGTAAGGAAATATTCCTAGTGAAGTGCTAGGACTCCTTTGCAAAGTCTATTTTAATCATCTCGAATTTACGGCTAATTTCTTCTGCCTTCTCTTAGCCCGAGCCCTCCCTTCTTAAAGGAATTGCATGGTAAGACAAGTGTAGAATAAAATAAAGAAAAAAGGAAGAGATGACAGTGAGAAACAACAACCAAAAAAGCTTGAGGCAGGAAAATAGAAAAGCAGGTTGGCAGGAAGTTCAAAGCCAAATAAAAAGGGGAGAGAGAGGGCATAAATTTCTGCCCTACTTTTACCTTCTGCTCGAGTTAGGATGGTTTTCTCTATGTGCTCCAACACATTTATGGCTTGTTCATTTCTCCCCATCTAGAAGCCTGACTGACTTCCCATCAGCAAGACCGGGTCCTCGTTAGGGATTTCCACCCGTGACCCCACCATCATTCATACTGCTTCAAGAAAACCAGAATGACAAAGCCAGCTTTACAAGGTTCCCTATCCTGAGGATCAAACCCATCTGACTATCACTAGATCAGGCTCTGTTAGTTCTTTTCTGTTGCTACTTCGTTTCTTGTTGCTCAGGTTTAGGAGAAAGCTGTGTTTTAGAGAAAGGACATTTACGGAAAACAGTCTTGTCCCTCACGTGGCAGCAGGGCTTGTTCCCTTTCCTGGGCCAGTGCAGCTCTGTGCCCGGGCTCATGGCCTGGTGGCATGGCTGATTTCATGTCCCCAGGTGTGCAGTGTGCATCAGTGCACACACACCTAAGCACACATTGTGTGATGGCTTATCTAGGGCAACAGACCTGCAAATCAAACTTATCAACCACTGCAAATAAAATAATGAAAATATTGAAAGTAACAGACAGGGCACAAGAGTACAAAAGAGTAGCCTGCGATCCTACTACTTGGGAGGCTGAGTTCAGGAGAGTCTCGGTTCGAGGCTAGCCCAGGCAAATAGTTCATGAGACCTCCCATCTCCAAAATAACCGGAGCAAAATAGACTGGAGGTGTGGCTTAAGCAGTAGAGCGCTTGCTTTGCAAGTATGAAGCCCTGAGTTCAAACTCCAGTCCTGCCCCATCTCCCAAAACACAAGAAAGTTCTGGTGCTCAATGAATACACATGGCAATCCCCCCATGTTCCTAATTCATGAAGAAACTGAAATTAATGGAATTTTCTTTTCTATGAATGACTCCATACTTCACTTTGTAAAAAAACCCAGCTGACTGTGGTTAATATTCTACGTTTAAAGGTGACCAATGACCAATGAAAGAAACCGCACTGTGCACTCCCCTGGCTGGAAATGCCACAAGCGCTGACAGTGTCACAAAGCTGTACAAAGAATCCATATTCTGTGGCCTGCACACTGCATTCCAATAAACTGGTCCTAAAGAGGAATTTCTCAGAACTGTCAGTTCTGGAACTGGAATTTTTTGTTTGTTTTAAGTGGTGTTAAGATTTGGGTTAAAAAAGGAAGTCTGTTTGTTTCTGATTTAATCTCAACTGGCAACACCCGTCTCTGTGTGCTAGACTTTCACCCAGTATTTTCCCAAAACAGTTTTTAGAGATATTTGAAGATTCTTGGAGTTATTGTAAGTGCTCTGTGAGTTAAGTAACAAAATAAAATAGTAGTAATAGATTTTTCTAAAATTCTTTAAAAGTATCTAAAAATCACTTAAGGTACTTGTTGCTTTATTACAGTCACATTTGTCTAGTGATGGCGCAGTCACATTTTAGGTGACACATTAAGCGTTCCCTTGATGAATGTGTGACATGACATTCACACACAGGAAAAATTGTTATCGCCAATTCATGGTTTTGGTACACACTGCCTACCTCGTGATCCAGGACCATGTGCCTCAAATTTTTAGTTTACAGAATTTAATCTTCCGGTCGGATTCTGTCTCAACTTCTCTGGGATGATTTTATTTTTTACACTGATCGCATCAACTGAGCCACACATTATATCCTGTGAACTTCCAAGAGATTCTGTCCATGCATTAAGTTCCAAAATCAAAGAGGATTGGTGAACATGGCTGTAAAATGGGACTCCTTCCTATGGGGCAGGGGGTGGAGCACACTCAGTCCTTGCAGTTGAGGAGCTGGAAAGGGCACAGTTGGTTTTATGCCTTTTTTATTTGCGTGTATTAATTGTACAAGGAGGTTTCATCACGACATGCATACCTGTATCAAATGCACCCCTTCTGTATGAAGCAGCATAAAGAAGCCCACCAAACCCCGTTTGCAAAAAGGGAAGAGGAAGAAGAGGAGCGCGATGAGGACACGATGGAGGGGCGAACTCGCTCCAAGCACGCTGTGCACATGTGCAGAATTATCACGACGAAATTCCCTCGTTATCAATGCATGCTAACTCAAAAATTAAATTAAATCAAAAATTTATAATCCCAATCGGTCTTGCTATTACTCTTGCTTATTTCCCCTCTCCTACCTTTTAGAACAATCTTTAATGGGTTTCATTTTTATTTTCTATTGTGCATGATATATATGTAGTTTCACTTTTGCTTATTTCTGACACATTGGACCTAAGTATTTCAGAAATTCACCAGCTAGTGATTTTAGTCTACCTGCCAGGTGCCAGGGGTTCACACCTGTAATCCAACTACTTGAGACTGAGGTCAGGAGGATCTTACTGTGAGGCCAGCCTGGGCAAATAGTTTATGAGGCCAGCATCTCTAAAGAACCACAGCAAAACAGACTGGAGGTGTGGTTCAAGCCACAGAATGCCTGCTTTGCAAGTGTAAAGCTCTGAGTTCAAACCCCACTTCCCCTCTCCCCAACAAAAAAAACCCCACCCTTTTTGGCTTACTGTCATAAGGTATATATTTTTTTATTTCAATTTCCTTTGACATCTGATTGTACTTTTCTTCTTTTCCCTTCACTCTTACTCAATAAATGATACATTCAAACTTTCCTATTACTGGCCTTTCCAAGATATTTAAGGTCATTTACAATTTGGGGCAAAAGAACCAAACACACTAGTTATTTTTATAATTAGAAAAACATTTGTCCAGAGACCTAAATGTGAAAATATCCACTCTCATGTAGTACTTAGGATTTACTTAGACTCAAGTCTGTCTTCCATGAGGATAACAAATAAGGGAACATTCATGAGTTTAGAAATACTGAACACAAAAGGAAGTCAACAAATTGTCAGTGAAAACACTGTATCCTAATTCAGTGCTGACCTAAGTATTTTTTATTCTTCATTTTTGAATACTTTAAGTTTCATAATTTTTCAAGGTAACCAGGATAAGCACCAAATCAAGCTTTTCTTGTCACTTATTTAGGTTTCCTGACGAACAGTTATGAGGAACCTGGTTCTGCCTACTGTCTACTAAGGAAAAAAAAATTCATTTATATAAAACCCAATTCTATCACTAATTAGGATTGTTTTAAAGGCCACTAAAATGTCAAAGTCTGACACCAGACACTTGCCTACCAGGTTGTCCCCCATGCCTACTCTGTCTAGATGGGATGGGGCCCCTGTCCCTCTGAAGAAAAGCTATGTGTCTAAGTGTGTCCACACAGGCTGAGCTTGGGCTACGGGTCTGACTGTGGCATTTTCCAGGGGCCCTCTCTTTATGAGGAGCCTGGGTTTAGCCCTTTGCTGCTTCTCCTTTCCTCCACCCGAAGCCTGGCACGTGAACCTGTTGGCTAGAGTATCATCTTGTTTTATGAGCATGTCAGAGGTTGTCACAGACTGCAGAGCTGGAAGCGGTTTGAATCCTAGAAGAGACACTGGAATAGAGCTGCCACCACAGCTCTGGACTGCCTCTCTCCAGATATTTGCACGAGAAAGAAACTTTTGTCTTAAGTCACTGTTATTTATTTTCTGTTTCTCAGAGGTAAACCTAATCCAACTGATAGTCTTATCTACTGCAATAAAAATAACAGAACAGGCACTAAATCTGAGGTAAGGAAAAGCAATATCAAAATATTTTTAAAAGTTGATTTGTACACTTAAACATAGGAACAATTTTCTGCCAACTACCTAATTTCTGGGAGATATTTTTTTGGGGGGATGATGGTACTGGGGCTTGAACTTAGGGCCTCTCACATGCTAGGCTTGCTAGACAGGTGCTCTACCACTTGAGCCACTCTACCAGCTACCTGATTCTGGGAAACAAAATGCTTATACTATTACAAAGCTATCATCCTGTGGTAATATAGACAACCTGACCCAAATTATGTTTGTAGCAGATCCTTATTAATTTTTAACCCCAAGGGTATGTCACTGAAAGATTACCAAAGACCTTCCTCAGAAGACAATTTCACCATAAGATTCCCAAGACATGGGCCTCAAGAACTGCAATATTCCATGCTCTCAATATTTTCTGGAAAAGTATAAAAAATGAATTATAGTTTAAATGAAATATAACCAGAAAGTTTCTGTAAAACTGCTCTAGTTTCTGAAATGTCCCTCAAAGGCACTACTGGGGGGAGATAGAACCTGTAGGAGGTAAGGCTCAGTGGGAAGAAGTCTTTCCTACATTGGGGGTGTGCCCTTAAAGGGGATTGGGGACTCCTGCTCCTCTTCCTTGTTCTATTTTGCTTCCCTGACAGAAGGTGAGTTGGTTTTTCTCTACTACTTACTCCTACTACGATGTGCACCCACCAGCCCAGAACATTGGGCCAACAAATCATGGACTGGGATCTCCAAAACCATGGGCCAAAAATAAACCTTTTCTCCTTATAAGTTGACCATCTCAGGTATTTGTTATGGTAACAGAAAGCTAACACAAAAATCTTTTTGTTTTCTGACCAGTTTACAAGTAAGAATGATATTACAATTTAACCCTGTAAAGATGATACTATTTAAAAAAGCTGTCTTTGACTGTTTTTCTTTAAGTATAGAGGAAAAAAAGACGTGAGGGTGATGTTTATAAGCTGGAAGAGCGAGCCTGAATGATTTCAAAGGCTGTTCAGGAAAGGAGAAGTTAAGACAAAGACTTTACGCACTGGGTCTTCACCAGACAGGCTGGGGTTCATGGGCACATAATTCTCTTCACTGTCGTGTGAGTCGCTGCTTGATGTCGTGCTGTGCACTGAATCTGGTCGAGGGGACAAGGGAAACCTGGAGGAACTAGAGACAGAAATTATTGTTAAAAAACATAGACCTCGATGGAAATGTCTAAGATCACAAAACGAGTGAAAGTGTGCACTCTTTCTGAAATACTCATTTATTTTATATTATCTCTAATTATTTACTATAACACATTTTATTACACACATTCATGCACACAACTAATACAGCTGCATTATAAACATACAACTGACACCAAATTATCTTGTGTAATATAAGCAAAAAAAAAGTATTTCTAGTACTTTTTGGGTAAATAGAAAGTCATAGATTTAAAAAGCAAGATTTGAGAACTCCTTTTTTAAAAAAGAAAACTACCTACATGTATAGCTGTAACACAAACACATGTTATGCACAAGTTTGTAACTTCACAAATTATTCTCACTTTTGTATAAAGATTTAAATAAATCTCAGTTAAACCAGCCTCCCAAGAAACTAGCATCCAGATCAGCAGTCTTCAGAAATTTTTTGATCTTGTGATCCCACTCTAAAAAATGACTGAGAACCCCAACAACCAATTTTTTTCATTAGAAACCAAAATAGAAGCATTTTTTAAAACACAAGATTATACAAATACACAGGCTATTGGTTGTCACGTGATGATATCACACATTGTAAAAGCTCACATGACCTTGCACTTGTACAGATGGGAGAATGGAAAAGACAAATAACATCTTAGTATCTCCCTTTCTCTGTTTTGTTTCTGGCGGTGCTGAGGATTGAACTTAGGGCCTTACTGGAGCCAAGCTCACAGCCCACATCGTACTGTCTTAATGAAGAGAGTCTGAAAGGGGGGCTTCTCCAGACCATCCTTTGATAACCATTCTTTTCGATATGTTCTTTGACAACGAACAAGTCTAGATAGTCTTGTATTTGAATGTATTTTAAATAAGGTTAACTTACTCTCGAGCAAAACTCCGAGTGATAGGGGATCTCACTGGAGCTTGCAATTCTTCCCACTCTGGCAAAGGTTTTATCTCTAAAGGTGCTGGCTTGGCTGAAAAGAAAAAGAGAAAAGGAACTTTTGGTGTACAGTACTTTGACAAGATCCTTTATTTCTCAACTTCTGTTTGACAGCCAGGGGCACCTGAGATCAGCTAGCCTCACACATGCAGTGAGCAAGGTTCATGGCTATCAAGGGGGAAAGCTAAATTAGATAATGTCTCTTGATTGTTCACACAAAGGCTAAAGCTCTATGACAACGTGTTGCTTCAGAAGGTTAAATAAATATTTTATGGATATAAACTAAATGAGAATGAGAAAGAGTCGTGAATTCCTTTACAGTTGATTGAGTTATACTTTTCTTGTTTCATTATTCACGCTTTTACTAATTTCATCCTTCAGATGGAAATTTAATTATCTATGTGAAAAAATATTTCTATCCTTCAATATTGAAGAATCTGCTATACATGTATCTATCATCTATCTATCTATCATCTATCATGTCTCTATCATCGATCATGTATCTATCATCTATCTATCTGTCTAATCTATCTATGTATCTAGAATGATACAGAGAGGAATTGGAAATAAAACTTTGTTAAAACCCAAAACAAAAAACTATGATAAAATCAAAAGGCTTAATGAGCAAATCTTTTAAAATAATATATACTTAGTCTTGAAACAAACAAAACCAAAGAGTAATCATATTCTAGACTCAACCTCTCCTCTAAGAAAAGGCCGTAACTGCCTTAAACAATCACTTCCTATTTTTAGCTTAATTTACACTTGATCTTAGCCAAAAGGCTGAGAAATGAATTTAGCTTAATTTAATTAAGGAATCCTTTACTCAACTAAATAAAATTAAGTAATGCTAATGCTTTTACATTTTTAAGGGGTTTCACATATTATCATATTACTTTTGTTGACAATTATGCCAATATGTACCACTACTTTCCAGAAATGTAGGAAGTGAGCAAAAAAAGCTAAAACAATACAATTTGTTAGCATTAATTATGTCTTAGAAGACCGCTTAAACCTCTTGGATAAATATCTTAATTTTATTCCATTCTGCCACTCTAAAAAACAAATGTTCATTTTTCCAGGTTTCTTTAGTCTCTGTCATAAATGTGTAATTTTAGTCAGCTGTGCTATAGTTACCGTGAAACTGCAAAACAGGTAGTCACTTTAAAGAACTACATAGTCACAGGTCTATAATTTAGTACCTTTGTCAACTCAAATTTATTAAATTCACATTAAAATAATTTTTCTTATCAATATATTCAAACTAGATATCTGCAGGATATTGTGCTGACTGATGGTATTTATTTAATGCTTCTTGTTTTTGACACCAAAAAGGCTAATAGGGGTTTAGCTACCAATTTCTAAGCAATGGATAATTAAGACATGGAAATTGTTTTCTATCCTGCCTCAAAACAGAACAGAAATACAAGAGACAACTGGGGCTCACGAGCAACTCACAACAATTTACTACTGTCTAAAAAGTTAAGGGACCAATGCAAAAGACAGACAATGACACATTAGCGAATATTCAACATGCAGCCTGCTGTCATGATATACTCATGTGTCCCATGGGAAACGGTCACTTGAGAAATTAACATGCTGGGAAACTGTATTTACATCATTTAAGTTGAGTTTTTTTTTTTTTTTTTTTGCTTCTTATGAAAAAACATTACAAAATAAATAAATTCCCAGTGCCCCACACAGCATGCGGTACTAAAGTACATACCCTTTCTTCTTGTAGCAAAGTCACCTATGGTTTGTGAATCAGTTCGCTCTAAACCATGGGGTTTGGGTCTTAAAATTTTAGGACTTTGACCTAATTGGTAAAAAGAAGACTCTCTTAATATAATGTTATTTTGTAATGGGAAAATGGATTCTATTAAAAAAAAAAAAAGCAACTAAAATCCTGTGCGGAAATGTTACACCTCAAAAGCAGAAACAAAAAACGTTTGTGGAAAATAGTCCCATCTTGCCACACCCGACTCATGGCTCAGCACAGGGGAGGGAGGAAGCCGCAGGCAGAAGCAGAAAGCTAGGAGGACAGCAGCGCTCTAGTGTGTCAACCAGCCTGGTTAACCGTCTGCATTTGAGGGAAGGAGAGAAAAGCAGGTCCATGTTAGTTCTTCTTCTAACATGTCTTAGAAAACTGGATCAAATAAAAATGATATAACCCCCCAGGCAGATCTCAATTACATCTTGTTTGAAGTCCAGTGTCTCATGAGAAAGCACTACAGACTTCCCCATAATAATACTGTCCTAAGTTGGGACAGATGTGATCCTGCACCTCCAGACCGAGGGCCCTATGGAGAAGCAGGTGGAACTTACAATATTTACTAATCCAGACCAAATGCTCGGTGGTGACTTATTTCCCGTGGATATTCAGCACCTGCCTAGTGACTTTATCTTACAAGAGCTAGATATTTACACGGTGGCACTACTCATTATCTAGCTTCAGTTTAAGTACTGGAAAACATAAATCCAGTTGCCATCATTTTCCTGTCATTTCTTCTCTGCCACCTGCAACTACTTGACAGTCCCATGAGGGGTGTCAGGCGGACTCTCAGCTGTTGTCACACACTTTGCCTGTTGGCAGCCTGGATGACAGAATCAGCTCAAGTACCCTGTTTCCAATGGCACTGAGTTTTTTCTTGGAAATTGTTGGTTCATGGCTGATATCTAGCATCTTATTTACTGAAGTCAAAATTTCATAAAATGTGACTCAATAGGTTCTAAACAATGAAAACTCTCTAACCAATTTTCTAAGTTAGATAATTAATACATTGAAAAAGTATTATTAAAAATAAGAAAGACAAGCTTAAAATCTGAGTACTCAAATTTTGGGCAAAATCGATCCCTAAGCCCTGACGCCATCCAGGACCCATGGCATCAGCACACTTCTTTGGTACTGGGGTTTGAACTCAGGGCCTCATGGTTGCTAGGCAGGAGCTCTACCATGTCAGCCATTCCGCCAACCACACGTAAGTTTTTTAAACTCCTCTGAACAGTGCACTACCCTTCAAAAAAGCAAGAGGCAGGGGATAGGTTTTACTACTAGAAAAATACTCTTGGATCGAATCCACCTTCTTCATTTTATGATGAGATACCCTGGAGAAAGAAAGCAGCTTAAGTGACTTGTTGAGGTCACAACACTAGTCACAGCAGAATGAAGCCTTCCTCTGCCCCCCCACATGCTAGAGCGATGCTCCTGAATCACAGGCCACATGGTCTTTACCTCGATTCCTTTTGTGGTATAGAGCATCTTAGAAAATGTAGTGTTTGCGGTTCAATTTGAGATCTTAGCGCATTCTATTACATAGTCACAAGGTCAGTCAGAGAGGAGAAAGGTGCTTGTTACTGTGCTTATGTGCAGAGCTGATATTACTTACTCCAAATATAGAGATGAGGCTTGGGGCACTGCATCTACTTGAATCCCACTATAGTTGACACATGAGCAATGCAACATTTAATAATTATAAAAAGCTAACAAGGTATTTTCAGTTTGGTGTTTACTCGGTGGCTGTCTTCCCCGCTCCTTTTCCGAAAGGCTGACTTTCATCAGTCCGTTAGCTTCATCCCAACTTTTCACTGTGGTTATTTCCCAGTCTTTACTGTGTGTGTCTCAACTTTGCACCCCTAGCATCTTGCCCACATTTGTGGCTCAATGACTGCCCTGTCTATCCAGTTATTGTTCCTCACTTTTTCTTTAGAAATACTTCACCTCCCTTATGCATCATCTCTAATTGTTCTTCTAGTACTTCAAATTGACCTGATCATTGCTCCTGCAAACCAGGGCCATTTCCCACCTCCAACAGCAGTGACAATGGTGCCATTTCCTGGATCCTTAGGTACAAAACCTCAGGGCTGTATTTCAAGAGTCCATCTCACTTGACCAACTGAATTTGGTTTTACAATGCCAATGATATGTCAATATGCCGGCAAGAAAGTCAAAACAAGAAGTGCTAAGATGCAAGGAGAAGGTAATGAAGGTCAATCTGAAAGTTACTGACGTCTGAGTGAATGAATGCTGGCTGATGGCCACAGTCCAGAACGATCCCAGCTCATGAAAAACAACAAGGAGACTCTTTTAAAACTTGTACTTAGAGAAGAAAAACAAGGCAAGAACAAACCAATTGTTTGGGAAGGAAGAGAACACAACCTTAATAGATAAAAAATAACAAAAGAGAAACCCAATGCCTATCTTGTTTTAGTCTTCCTCAGCTAGGAGAAAGTTCTTTGAGATACAAAAGACAGAACAAGCATGAGAGGTAGCTGGGCACTGGTGGCTCATACCTCTAATCCTAGCTACTCAGGAGGACTGTGGTTCAAAGCCAGCCCAGGCAAGTTTGTGAGACCCTATCTTGAAAAGAAAAAAAAAAAAACCTTCACAAAAAAGGGCTGGTGGAGTGGCTCAAATGTGTAGGCCCTGAAAAAGCGAGGTATTAATGGCTGTTATGTGAAAAAAATACAAGGTAATACCCTGCTACTTTCAAGTTCTACTCCATGAATTACATGTGAAGATGCTAAATGATTTTTACAGACAGGAACATGGAATCCGTATTAGCAATATGGAGAAATCATGGAAAATGGAAGGTGCCACGAGAACAGGCTGCAGGTGTCTTTCATGTCACTCTTTTCAACTGTGCACTGTCCATTCTCTTCTCTCTGTGTTGTCACTCACAACTTTAAAATGTCAGCCCTTCCCTCCATTTTCACTGTCATTATCTGTCCTTGCTTTATTTGTGTCTTTCTTTCAACACAAAACTGAAATGACAATAAAGTCCATTGGGCCAACCTGAGAAACAGCACACCGCTTCCCGTTACTTGTGAGCCTCTATTGTGAGTTTCTCATGCACCAGTTACCTTGCAGGAAAGGCATGATTAAAACAGATTTTCATGCTACCACTGAGCAGCTGGGGCCAGCCCAGAGCCACACAGATGACTGGTGGCAACAGAAGTAGAGTCCTTTGAATCCATGTAAAGGGTTTGCGCTCTCAGTTCCACATCCATAGGCCAGCCTGGAATCCTTACTATTGTCATTCTATGTGTATTGTTTTGCTCCTGTGTGTAGTTAAGTCTTTGCAATTGCATCTTAAGTATGTGACATGCTAAATACATAGGTAAAATCATTGCATTTCTCTGATCTTTATCACTAGCATATTCTTGTTGATCATAATGAAAACAAAAGTTAAGTGTAAGTGACTGTGTGTGAGGTCATGTACAATGTGGGGTGAGTAGTTCTCAAAGTGGCCCAAGGACACACATGTTAGCCAAAAGCAGATGCATGAGGTCAGGGAGCCTTTCACTAAAATTCTGCCCCATCTCTACCTTTTCTCCAGGAGAGTAAAGAGGCACTCTGTTTTCAGAACATTCCTTGGTTTTCTTCACAGAAAAATATGATGTAGAACAGTATGATATTTTAACTGAGATTTTAAAAGTGCATTTACAACAGTTAACATGTATTTTCTGTTCCGTGAAAAGCTTAAGGCTGATTTTAGGACCAAAGTCCTAAAACAGGGATGACACACTGAATTATAACCTCAAACAGGAATCTATTATGATAGCTTATTAAGAGAAAGTAATCAGCACACTTTTACCTAGAAAACATCTGCACTTGACCCATGGCCTCCTTTGCTTTGCTCTCACACCACGTGCCCTCCTGAAGGAGGACACTGCCCAAGCCCATCAGAAACAGTCAGATGGAGGCTGGAGGCTCAAGCGGCCCTGAGTTCAAATTCCAATACTGCCAGAAAATGTGTAAAGTAACATACATAAGTATGCAGAAGAAAACAGCCTTGCAATCGCACAGACTCTTTTTTATTTTACTTATTTATTTTCATTTTTTCTTTTATTCATATGTGCATACAATGTTTGAGTCATTTCTCCCGCCTTCCCCCACCCCCTCCCTGCCCTTCTACCAGGCAGAAACTATTTTGCCCTTATTTCTAATTTTGTTGAAGAGAGAGTATAAGCAATAATAGGAAGGAACAAGGGTTTTTGCTAGTTGAGATAAGGATAGCTATACCGGGAGCTGACTTGCATTGCTTTCCTGTACATGTGTGTTGCCTTCTAAATTAATTCTTCTTGAACTAACCTTTTGCCACACAGACATTCTCTCCTGCAAACAGGGACCTCCAGGCAAAAGGAGCCTCAATGCAGCCCCGCTGCCCTTCTGCACAGAGCAGGATGCCTTCCAGATAGAAGGCCTGGATGAGCTGCAGGCATTCACCCCAGAAAATAAGGGGGGGGGAAGAAACAACCGTGTATCTGAGGTGCACTTGACCTACCGGCCTTGTTTCTCTGAAAGTGAGGAACTCACCACTTATTGGATGAGACCTCCACTTACCTTCTAGTGCCCCCAAACCTTCTAAACATCACTCCAAGTCCCTCAAGTTGAGGGATGGAAGAGGACTTTTGTCATGTTGTTCGCAATGTCCCAGACTTCCAGAACCCTGGATTTGGAAAACTGGGCAAAGCTCTATAAGGGAGATGAAAAAGGTGTGATTTTTATATCATTTTCCATGAAAGAGTACAATTATTTTCTGTACCATATTCTTTAATCACAATGAGCTGTCTAGAGGCAACCCAATTATGTTACTTGTCTGCATAAAACCTTTTAATTGTGCATTCAGAATAAAGTTCAATGTCATCAGCAGGTAGATCACGACACGCTCGGGATCACTGCGAGGTGTTTGGCATTCTTTCCTTCCTTTCTGTACCTTCTTCCCTCCCTCCCAGCCACCCACCTGCTCATAACTCTGAGGCAGCCTCGGGTCCCCTCTCTGTGAGAGGATCTAAGCAGGATGTTGACTCAAGCTAGACGCTCCTGTGCCACCCTGCTCTCTGACCTGCTTAATTGTCACACTGCCTCAGAGACGCTGCTCTGACAGTGCCAAGACTTTACCTCAACTGTGGCCTCTTCCCAGTAATTACGATCACGTGTTTACTTTTCTACCTCATCTGCTACACCTAGACCTTGAGCTTTCTCAGGAAAGCGACTTCCTCCTTCCTTGAGTTGGAGACATCAGGCCTAGCAACTGTCCTGTAACTGGTAAGCACTTAGACCTAAGACTAAGTGAGCGAAGGTCACTCCTCTAGTGTTCAACCTCAAACATGTTTTCCTCGTTCTTTAAAAGGAAAAAGGAAATAATGTAATTTCCCAAGTTGGTCACCTCAAATGCTATCAAGGCAGGTACACGAGGGTCATGGTTCAGAGCAGCAGGTGCAATTCTTTCGGAAAAGCTCGTACACATTACTAATATTCTAATAGGCAATGCTCACATAAATTCTACTTGACACAGAAATTTTATTTTCTGCATTATTACACATTTAACTTAGCCTACGGTAGTTCTTCTTCCAAAAGTTTTATAGATTACGCTCTTTCAGTAAGCATGGTCACAACTGAGATGGAAGAAAAGTAATTCCAAAAATTATTTGCAAATTTTTAATTTATTTTTCTTTTGGCACTACTGGAGTTTGAACTCAGAGCCTCACGCTTGCTAGGTAGGTTGGAGCCACTCCAACCAGCCCTTTTTTTGTGATAGACTTTTTTGAGATAGGGTCTCATGGACTATTTGCCCGGGCTGGCTTTGAACCATGATCCTCCTCATCTCTGCTTCTTGAGTAGCTAGGATTAAAGGCGTGAGCCACTGGCGCCCAGCAAAAGATTATTATCCTCCACGAATTCCAACTGAAAATGTAGGCAGAGTATTGAAAAATGTTCATATTGGTTTGGCCTCACTGCATGCAGAGGAACATAATACTATAAATTACAATCATAAATGAAGATCAAGGGTTCTTAGGGAAAACCCTCCACACATTAAACAAAAATGTACTCCACACTTATTTCCTTTAAACTGTAATAGATGGGAGGCTGAGATCAGGAGGATCTCATTTTGAGGCCAACCTGGGCAAATAATTTGTGAGAACCCCCATCTCTAAAATAACCAGAACAAAATGGACTGGAGGTGTGGCTCAAGCAGTAGAGCACCTGCTTTGCAAGAGTGAAGCCCTGAGTTCAAGCCCCAGTCTTGCCACAAAAAATTTCTCTTCTGTTAATATACGTAAAATTTGGTTCAAAAACAATATAGTGACAGAAACAGTATGGTGAAAATATAGCTACCACAAACTAGGTGACAGGCAAGGGGTTCCTGGTAATATATTAGGTGGCAACATTCAGTGTCTCTATGGATTCCTGCAGCTTGGATTACTAAGTATTTCAAAAACCCGTTCATATGCCAAACTACAGCAGCTGACGTCTTACACGGGGGACATAAACAAGACTAGAATGTCACTCATTTGTTGTAGACCCTTTGAGAGACGACACACAAAAACCTGTTACACAGGTGTGGAACCAGTTATCTGGGGCTTTGGAAACTAATCAAGCTTTATTTGACAGAATTAGATTTTCTTATTGTGAGTTTTAGATAATAAAAAAGCTGGAATAAAAGATTAAGTCATTTGATGTCACAGAATTGAAATTAAAATACCCATTTTATGCTATGAATCTTATGACCAAATAAGGAATTTATTTTATAGTTTAAATTTTAAGAGCAAACTTGATTCTGAGATCCGAATTTAGATTTTAAACTGTGTTTTTCTTGAATACTTATATCTTTCCAAAGATAGGTGACAAAATTTCCTGTCACACTAAATACCTTCGTATGCCTCCTTTCTTGTGTCATATATATTGAAAAAGCATAATAGCACTAAAGAAAAGTAAAGCCATTTTTAACACTATGATTTTAAGTAATCTCTTTACTATTTTGCTAAAACTGCTCTTGGTTTCACCAAAAGCTATATGGGTATTTAATCTGGGTGCTCTTTTTTAGTTCATCTCATATTTAAGCAAATAAGCCAAATAATCTAGCTCATGAGCTCAGGATGGTCTCTGAACAGTTTGGTTAAGTTTAGTTTTAATTAATTGTTCATTTATTTCTGCAGTGCAGGGGATTGAACTCAGTGTCTTGCACAGGCTGGGCAAGCACTCTTATCACTGGTGTACACTCACAGCTCTCCTTTCCCTCAAGTTTGGTTAATTATTTTTTTCTTTTCTTTTTGAGGTGCTGGGGATCGAAGCCAGGGCCTCATGCCTGCTAGACTAGCACTCTACTGCAAAGTCGCACCCCCACACCTCCAATTTGGTTAGTTTTTAACAGAAAGAACACAATCTCCAGAAGAGCCCACTTTGTTCTGTTCTACCATAAAGTCACTTCAGGTTGATTCAAAGAATAAAGACACTTCATTCTTCATGTACTGAGCTACTTAGACTTTGACTGCATTCATAGGAAGGTATAATGGTCCACGTATGTAGTATTTAAGATACAGTCCTTGTCAGATATATATAAGAATATGACACACAAGGTACATCAGAATTAGAGCTTAGTACCCTTTCCCAGATCAGACTGCCTCCACATTTATAGGGGACCTCGAGATATAAAACTGCTAAGTTTAGAGGGTAAAAAGTAGACAACTACTAACACAGAAAAATAAAAAAGTGCCAGTTAACATTTTGAAAGCTGTTTCAATATTTCAGAGTGTGTGACACTTGTATCTTTCACTGATGTATGGCCTAATTATATACGTAGACATGTCAAATATATTTTTTGTATATTGTATGCAAAGAAAATGACTAATGATGTGTGCAACAGAGACAACCAAGACAAAGAGAAACAAAAGACAACACTATGAAATAAAAAGCCCGTGGTGCTCCCACTCTGCTCTCTCGGAGATAAACACCCTGAGTGTGGTCCTGCTGCCACGTGGGCAGTCTGAGTGGCAGATGATCTTTTCAACCAAGGGACCAATGATGGACACTTGCCCTAGGAGTCATCTGTGGGATGGCCTACAATCCAGTATGTGGCCTGGGTGGAAAGACAAATTGGACCAATCAAATAATCTCTAAGCAACCTGACACAAGTCAATGACAGCTGCAGAAACTGCACGGGTGCACAAAAGGAGCCAGGAGGGGAATCGAGGCACAGGGGGCGCCGTAGGCCAAAGCTCTCAGGCAGCAGAGCCTGTTTAAGGAGAGGCTACAGGGAAGAAGAGAAAACAAAGAAAAAGAGAAAACAAAGCAGAGGCAAAGACTTCCCAGGAAACAAGCGCAGAGAGGACATGGTAACCACCCCATAGAGCTGCCTCAGTTTCCAGTTTTGGTCTTGCGTTAGCACACATACACCCTTACTTACTTAAAAACAAAACCAACCCCTTTTCTTAAGATAGTCTGGGCCTCAAGCTATCTTTCCCATGCCTGAAACTTAATTAGATCTTACAGTTAATGACCTAAGCCCAGTTAATGAGAAATTTACATATATATTATCCGTTCTTAAAAAGTTGCATATGGCCAGGTGCCGGTGGCTCACGCCTGTAATCCTAGCTACTCAGGAGGCAGAGATCAGGAGGATCGTGGTTTGAAGCCAGCCAGGGCAGTTTGTGAGGCCCTATCTTGGAAATACTTAACACAAAAAAGGGCTGGTGGAGTGGCTGAAGATGTAGGCCCTGAGTTCAAGCTCCAGTACTGCAAAGAAAACAACCCTGCATACAGCACAAGACTTTTCAGATGCACTGACATCCTGGCCATAAGCCAGAAACAGAAACCCAATCACACGTATGCTGACTTATTTGGTTGTCAAGACTAAGTCACACTAACATTAATAGGTTGCCTGAGTATAAGTAACAAACCAAATTTTAAAAACTAAATGGATAATACCCACTATCCAATGTGGCTGAAAAGTTTCCTTTACGAGAACTCTTTTTTTTTTTTGGGTGGTACTGAGGTTTGAACTCAGGGCCTTGCACTTGCCAGGCAGGTGCTCTACCGCTTGAGTCACACCTCCAATCCCTTTAAGAGCAATCTTAACAAACTGTGTTACCTCAGAATTTAATGCCACTTATAAAGTCAGGTATAAAAAAATAGACTAGGAAGAGAATAGACTAGAAGCATTTATTTATTCCCTAGCCAAGCAGAATAATTTTTAAAAAGGTGTTAAATGGGTAAATAAATTATACAGGGATTCTCTTTCTTGAATAATTATATCAACTGATTAATAATCTGAAATCTGATTTGATACTATATACTCTAGAGGTTACAAAACAACAACTGAAAGCCATATCTAGTTTGTACAAGCAAGGGATTTGGTCTGCAATTAAGAGAAATAAACTAGTTGACAGAACTTTAAAAGTCAAGAGATGATACAGATAAAACCCTGATTTCTGTCTTTTCTCTCTCTCCCTTTTCTCGGTGGGACTGGGGTTTGAACTCAGGGCTTCATGCTTGCAAAGCAGGCGCTCTACCACTTGAACCACACCTGCAGTCGTCCTGCCTTCTCTTGACAGATCACGTGCCCACAGCTTCACCAGTCAACAAAAGATGATTGCAGCCGAAACAAAATAAAAGATTGCAGCCAAAACAAAAGATTGCACCGACCTGGAGAGTTCGGTGATCCAGTTAGAGGGACAAGAGCGTTCCAGTTTCTAATTCTTCCCTGTGGCTGCCTATCCCTCTGGGGATTTTAGCTTGCAAACTCTCCTCTAGAGGCAGGAGACTAACTCTCACTTGGCTATCTATGAAAAGCAGTACTGCTGTTCTTGACGACCCAGGTAAATAGGATGTTTCAGAATTTCTAGTCTCCAAGCAGATTTTGGTTTAGTGACAGGTAAATGCAAATCTAACTTCCCACCCTCTTACCTTTTCTGTCTGGCTTCAGGTTCCTATCCACTGGGGGCGGTTCACAGTCTGCAACAGGAACTGGCCTTCTGGGAGGGGTCTTTGGGCTGGACCTGAAGCCCATATGAGCAGGAGGAGGAACTTGCATTCCAAATGAAGAAAAATCGAATGTCCCTGGAGTCATTGGCACATAATTTGCCTCCTGAATTGGTTCTGTGAAACTGCTGGACTGTTGCTGTGGTGGCGAGTTGGGATTCATTGGGACGTAGTTTTCATCCAGTTCTTCACTTGACACACTTCCCACTGTCAACACGCTTTTGATTTTCTAAAACACACATACATTTCTCTTAATAAACAAAACTACCGTCGAACACAAAAACACGAGTCACATTCATTCACGTGGATCACCATCTCAGTTAGCCCCAGGGTACCAAGCAGGAAGATTTTTGAAATACTCTTGACAATGCCAGGATGGATTATACTTACAAAGTGGTTATGGAAGCCTTCAAGTGAACTAGATCTGTCACTGGGAAATGTGCGTGGAATATCGTAGCAGTCTTGAGAGCTAGCATCTAGAATAAAGAACAAACTGTCAACATCTCTCTCCATTTTGTGAGCACTCAGGATAGTGAGGACTGGCCTACTTCTTGCTCTCTTTGCACACGCGCATGCATCAATTTCAAAAATGCTCACAGAACAGTATTTTGAACTGGCACATAAAACCCCTGGAAAATGCAGGCATCCTTGTAAGCTCACCAACACCAATTTCTGACCATAAGAGTAGATGTCTAAGCCTATGATGAGATGGGTTACTGACAAATGGAGAAGAGAAAATGGTACCTGCATTTTCTCACCTTTTGTGCGACATTGGGCCTGATTTATATTTCCCTCACTTATAAAAAGGTCATATAGTCACTTTAAAAAAAAGGGAGTAAGAAATTGGTAATAAATGGTTAAATAAGTAATGATATAGCTTTTTTTATGATATATTAAATCCTTATCTTCTTGAAGATAGCCAGACAGCTACCACAAAATACACAAATTTTAGAACATAGTTTCTAGAACCTGTGCATTAAAAACTTTGGCTTTTCTATTTTTAGAACTTTTAGTGTCTCAGAAATAAGCCAGCTCATTTTTTTTCTTCTCTCAAGGTCTTTACCTGAGGCTCTTAAGAGAATGATAGAATAAAAGTCCAGTGAGATCTAAAATGATTAGTGATAAGGAGAGAGAGTCAGTGCTTGAAAAGTAAATAAAATCAACCAAACAAAAAGCTTCACTGGAAGGGAACTGTCACCTATTAGACAAAATGCTAATATTACTTAAATAGGAAGAAAGGAAACAGAGCCTAGGAGATGTGACACAGAAGTGGCCATAATGGCACACAATGCAGGAAAAGGTAGCTTTGTGGCTGTAACATTTCCTGCTCCTCCGTCCCAACAGACAGCCCGCCCACCCAGGGAACACAGAAAGTGGGAAAGAGAGGTGCACACCGCCTGAGGCAGGAAGGTGTCACTAAGGCCGTACTTCTTCAGGATGAGAAACTCTCTCTCCCTTCCAACAGCGCATATGGACACACGCACACACATGTGCACACGCACACACACCCTCTCAGGGGTCTATTGAGACTCTGGTATCTTGACTACACGAGGGGGAACTGCAGAGCTGAAGAAAAAAGGGAAAGCCTTTTAACATCACGCTACACTGAAAAGCACAATTATTTCAGAAGACCACTCTTCTGCTCATTGGTCTCTAACCGAGGAGAAGCTGAATAGAGCTGACCTTTTCGCAACTTGTTCAGATCCACTGTGGAAATGGTATTGCTACGTGAAGGTGACATCCCTGCTGTAGGGATGCAGTAACTACTGTCAGTGTCTGAGGCCGTGCGTGGGATGCTACACATTTCTGCAGGAGATCGGTCATGAATTGGATGTGGTTTTGGTGGCCGAGGTGGAGGGATGTCTGGAATAGTGTCCAGCTTTGATGTCTGTCCCAAGGTGCTTTCTGGAAATGTCCGTGGAATCTGGTAAGTATTGCCAGGTGTTGGAGGAATGTCGTAACTAATAGATACGTGTCTCATTTGAGCATCTATACTGGACGTCCCAGACGGGGTATTGAAAACGTAGAGTTCCCCATCTGCTTCAGTACTGGATGGGGACTCCTTTGGCAAGACATCATGGGAATAGCTCCTGGGCAGGTTGTAAAGGCTGCAGTCTACAGAGACAGATGTGGCCCTTGACGGTGGCGAGTCATACACCATCTGCTGGTGGAGAAAGCCGTTCACTCCATGTTTACTCTGGGAGGAAGCAGTATTTTTAAGAGAAGGGACATTACCATTGCAGTCTGTTTCAGAGGAAGTGGATTTTGCAGAATCAGCATGGGTTCTAAATGAAAATTGTTAATAACAAAATAAGACATAGTCAAGACAGAGGAACACAGTTTTGACAACATAGTTTAGCAATCAAAATGTGTGTTTTTCATTAATTTTTTTGTGTGTGTGATCCAGAAGATTTAAAGCACAAATATTCTTTACGGTTTTTTTTTATATGATTATGTATCAGACAACAAAACCGCCACCACCACAAAACCACCGAAGCCTTCTCCCTACTTCCTGTCTGGTACCTGCCCACAACCCAACTCTACCTATGAAACCCACACATAAAAACCACAGTCCCTGTAAGAATTAAGACATCACACACTCTGGGGAAGGAGCATGAAGAAGGAAGGTATAGACACAGGAAAAGCACTTCCCATCAGGAGCCTGAAGGACCTGGCACAAGTTCAGTGATAAAGTTCACCCACCGCAGCTTAACCTGCCAGTGGCAAATCTGTTGTTCTGTATAACAGAGACCTACATGGGGTGACAACTAAACAGGTTTTATGTATCTTCTCTTCCACTAATTTTCTCTGACAAATATTTAGCCAACACTATAAAGAGAATCAAAATACATGACATAGAGTTAACAACTCAAAAGCACAATTAACCTTAAAAATCTCATTTGAGACATTTTGCTTTGGGTATGTTTTGAGTCTCTGCCTCTTGAGGTTATCACAAAATTTCAGTATAAGCCAAATGAAGCTAACAGTATAAGCACATTCTGACTTCCTTAATGACACATGAGATACCTGCATTACCTACAGGTGTTATTCAAAGTCATATAGAAATTTAGTATTTTGAAAATAACTTGTGATAGGCTTTTTGAAGGGCTTTTCTTCCCCAACTTCTCAATACCATCTAGCACTGTGCCTGGCATTTACTCACTGAAAAACTGTCCCTTCTCATATCAGAGGATCCAAACTGTGCTGTCCTGATTTTTCCTTTTGCACTTATTATTGGTGTAGTGACTGGCTCCTTCCTCCTCCCTTTCCTCCTAGGAATGGCCAAGAGTTTAGTCCTTTAATGCCCCTGGAGAATTCTCCTTTCTCCTGTCTTCCCCTTCTCACCAAACTCTTGAATCCCATATTTTCAAACTAATGTTTTTACTTGATTATCCCTGTATGACCTCATTCATGAGTCCCAAACCTAACTCAACTTACTTCTCAAATTAATTCTTTCTTGATTTGTACTGAAAGAAATCACTTTAATCTAGATTTTCAAGACTCAAAATTCAATAGGCCTGATTCCTCTTTTACCCTCATTGCCACTTATGCATCAAGCCCAGGTCCTTCCTATCCATGTCTATTTCCTTCTGTTCCTATGGCCACCGTCTGTCCCCAACTAATTCAGGTCTGTGTCTCTGGTGACATCTGTAATACTAAACCCTTCTAAATGAACTCTCTAGTGTCTTCCTCTTCAAATCTACTCATTGGACCATTATCTTCCCAACACGGTTTTATATTATTCACTTACTCAGAGAAAAATCTAGTAGGCCCACAGAGTTCCTAACAACCTGGCTCCACCTGTGTCCTACTGCCTCTCAAATAGAACCCTTTCCCTAGCAGGCTCTGCTCATTTTCTTCTTCCCGAAATGCCCATTCTCATCTCTCCTTTCCCTCAGGGAATTTTCCTCCAAATTAGAAGTGATATTCTCCTGTGTAGTTCAGGTCTTATTCCTCCTAAGAAGCTCTGAAAAACACTTGCACTGTCTCTTGGTGGTATTTCTCATGCACCCATGCATACTCTAAAATTTATGCTTTATTTAGGTCAAATACAGCAGCTAGGACAAGCAGGAGGTGCAATGAGTAATCAGTAGGGCTTCTTGCTCTGACTAGCTTACAGTTCAGTGAGGAATAAGGGAAGTGATCAAGTTATTTGCAATACTATGATAAAACAGACGTGGGGCACAACCAGTAGACTAAAAACCCACAGAGACATCTAACCCAACCTATGAGTGCGAGGGTGCACTTCCTGGAGGAGCACATGTCTGAGCTGAGTCTTGCAAGACAAGAGTTTGCAAGGCAAGTGTCATTCTGTGTCCATCTAGAAGTAATCTATGCTCCCTGTCTTTGGCTTCTGAACAAGCCTTGTGTACAAACTCCAAAGGAGACTGTATCTGCGAAGAATGTGTCTTACACAACTAGTTTGTATCTTCATAGCATCTAGCATAAGAAGCATACAGTGAGTACTTCATACATATTTGCTATTTCTTTGCTGTCATGTCTGCAAAATGTATCTAGGAAGGAATCTGGAACACAATCTCTACTGTAACGGGGAAGAGGGGATACCAGTAAAATCAGTGAGAGACACCAACATGAAAGCAAAATGTGCTGAAAGACCTGTCCCTTAGATGATATTGGAAGGTAACAGAAAATCTTTATAAAATAAAATTTTATTAGTAGCACAGGTAACAGAGTTGCAAGTGTATCATTTTCAATACTCACAGCAAACAAGCACAATCAAGTGAGAATTTGGCATTAAAGCTAGTATTGATTTATAAATTTTTCTTGCTCTCACAGGTAAAATCCCATTACAGCAAATATAGAGAAAACCATCTTTACAATATTTCTGAAATGTTTCCATCATTTTGGGGAATGGTTCACAGAAACCATTTTGTGTACCTTAAACTCTACATTAAAAATTGTAACAAGCGCTTTGTCTGGTTTTATCCACTAATAATCACTTTTTACATTAAAAAGCTTTTGGGAGGCTGGCAGAGTGGCTCAAGTAATAAGAATGCCTACTTAGCAAGCATGAAGCCCTGAGTTCAAACCCCAATGCCACCAAAAAAACACCAAAAAACTTCTTTGTCATGTAAGTAATAAGGCTTAACACTGTTCAGAAACATTTCTTCCTGTCTAATATGCAACTCACCCCCACTTTTATACTGCAAATAAGCACACCCAGTTGATGATATTAACCATGATCACATAGCTGCTAATGACAGAGACAGGGCTATGGATCTTCATTTTCCTGCTGCTTCTTTAAATAGTGAAACAGCTGCCCTCCAACTTTTCTGTGGCTTTAAACCTTTCAACCACTCAATATCAAATGTCAAAGATGACCAAATTAAAATATCTTCAAGCTCAACAGAGCAGATGGATGTGGAAGTGGGGAGGGAGAGAGCAGGGTACCAAGGCTTTGGGGAAGGTTTGCGGCCCCTCTGTCAAGCACTGCACTGCACTCCATATACTGCTTCCTACTTCAAGATCTGTGAAGTCACCAGGTGCTCGTGACTCACACCTGTAAACTTAGCTACTCAGGAGGCAGAGATCAGGAGGATGATGGTTTGAGGCCAGCCTAGGCAAATAGTTCAAGAGACTCTATCTTGAAAATACCCAGCACAAACCAGGGCTGGAGGTGTGGCGCAAGTGATAGAGCACCTCCCTAGCAAGCATGAGGCCCTGAGTTCAAACCTCAGCACCCCACCACAAAAAAAATAAATTAAAAAAAAAAAAATATATATATATATATATATACAAAATAAAAAATTTGTGAAGTCAAGGTTTGGGGTAGCACTGCTTGCTTGTTAGATGTGAGAATTTCAAAGTTTCATAGCTTTTAGCAGTATAATCCATTTCATCAAATTTCCCTAAAAGCCAATTTGTACATTCCGTAGAACTTGCCGTATTGGGATTTTACCTGAATGATTAATTTCTCACACAGATCCAAAACTACAACACACTCACTGCAATGGAATCGTTTTGCTTTCAAAATCTTCTAGTAGTAGGTATTCCTCTCCTTCTTCAGAAACAAAAGATGACCCTTGGCTGGTTTACAATCACATAAGAAATGGAGCAAGGTCACCATTTATAAATCAGTGAAATCTGTTAAGCAAGTAATACTGTGAGTCTGTAACAAAGACTATGGAACAGTAGCCAGATTTCCAAAGGAGCCTTGTAGGCACCAGTGCTCACTGCCAAAGACAGCAGAGACTGTGTTTCTTCAGCAGCACCTCCTGAATATCAGAACTCACTAATAAGGGTATAACCTGAAAGATAGCACTACACCGTAATCTTATATGGATGGTTCCTTTAAGTCTTCAAGTCAAGGTTAAAAAAATTCAAAGGTGGAATTTAAAACACACATACCCACACACGCACACACATGCAGAGTCATGTACCATTTACCTGGTAGGTTCAGGCTTCTTGCTTTGACAGTTGATCAGCAAGAGGTAGTCTTGGGGATCTTCCTGGAGGCCAAGAGATTCTGGGTGTGGTGGGAGGCTGATGAGCTGGTATGAAGGAGGTAGAGCAGCAGAGGAGGGATCCACCTGGGTGGAGGGCGGTGCTGTGTTCACAGCGAAAGGCAAATCAGAGGGTGCTTGCGAGGAGCTGCCGAGTGGCTTGCCGGGATCTGCAGACCAAAGTTTGACTGTCATTGTCTGTCACACTAGAAGAACTGTTTTGTTAGACAAAACTACTTTAAAGTCTGGAGATCAATTCTGGGTTGTTTTTGGTTTTGGGTTTTTTTTTTTTTTTTGGTAGTACTGGGGATTGAACTCAGGGATTCACGTTTGCTAGGCAGGTGCTCTATACCACACGAGCTGCTTCATTAGCTCTTTCTGTTGGGTTTTGTCAAGATAGGGTCTCCAGAACTATATGCCTGGTCTGGCCTCAAACCAAGACCCTCTTGATCTTATCTCTGGAGTAGCTAGGATTACAGGCATAAGCCACCCATGCCCAGCAAGAAATAAACTGTTCGAATATACAAAAACAGAATGATGGACACTGTCAATTAAAACACACTCCAACACCTGCTGTCGGATGTGGTGGCACATGCCTGCAGCCCCGGCTACTCAGGAGGCTGAGACGGAGGGTCACTGAAACCTAGGAGTTTGAGGCCAGCCAGGGCAACATAACAAGACCCTGGCTGCACCACCTACATGGTGACCTTTGTACATGCAGTAAGTGGTTCTTGTCATAGGTAGCTAAAGAGCAGGACTCTTCTTCCAGCCCAGGGGCATGAAAAAGCCACTGTTGACCTTACCTTTTACGGAATGAAGGTGTTTTACAATCTCAGCAGAAGAGACGGATTTTTCCCCCAGTGATAATAAAGTGTGTGATGGTTATTTTGCTCTTTGTTATTTTCTTTCTACTTCTCACCAGACTAGGGAGGAATATTTCTAGTTTGGAACTGGTGAAGATGGATTCCGTTTGTGAACAGGGACAGGGCTTTCTTAAGGTCTACCTCATAACCTCATCTGTCGTTGAATAAACTTTTACAGGATTTTCATGAAAAGGCAGAAAGTGAAGAAGTAATTTATTAAGCCACTAACTATGTTCTGAGAAGACATATAAAAATAGCTGAATTGTACTGGGGATGTAGCTCAGTGGTGGAGCACTTGCCTGGCATGCCCAACGCCCTGGGATCCACCCCTAGCGTTAAGGGGGAAAAAAATAGCTAAATTGTGTAGAAGGAAGTTACTTGAAAATAAGTTAAAAATCTAGAAATAAAAATTCCTCTGTAATTACTGACATGATCACATATAAGACTATGTTCAGTTATTCTGGTTAGACATATAGGCTAGAAATAACCTAGAAAAGGTCATACACTCATACACGAATAAACAAATTTGTTTCCTGTTTATATTAGAATAGAAAAGGCTGGGTTGAAACTGAGATTTTTCATAATAAAACACTACGTAAAAGATGCTAAAAAAGATACAGGAACTCACATTCCTTCAAATAGGATGAAATGCAGGTCATTTGGCCAATTTATCAGATAGGCAAAATGTTAGTTCTGTGTTCTGATAGATATTTAAAATAAATTTGCATGCTTCAGACACTGCTCTATGAATTTAACTATAATAGAATGGTGCACAGCAAAGTTTATTCAGCTCATTTTGCAGTTCTTCCCGTGTCGCAGAGATGATATTCTAACTGGGAAGCCTGTGTATGACGGTGTGTTCCAATGGCAAAGAAGAAAGGATCAAAACTGGTATGCTTCCTGTGTCTTAGGTGTAGCATTTGCTGAAGAAAACTTTTCAGTCGCAGGGCAGAAACTCAGCACTTTCTGTCTGTTTAAGAAGTTAAAGTGAGGGGTGCTCCCAAATCTGGAAGACTCACTGCTTGCAGGCACTCTTCAGATTTTGCTTCTCCAGAACTCTGGGAGTCCTGCTAGATGCTAATGAGGCTTGAAAATCAATTTTAATTTGAATATTTTGCCTAAGTGAATAGAAGGTGAGCTAATTTCTAAATTTTTAATCACTGTGATGCTCTATGAAATGTCTTCACGCAGACTTACCTAGTAAAATCTAACACCTTCTGTCAGGAGTTAATTCTTTCTTATTAATGGAAGGTGAGAACAGAGGACGGTAAGAATATAAAAATATTTTTCGAACATTTATATAACAGAAGTGGTTTCTCATAAATACTTGTCTAGTAGATGCTGACTATAAAGTGATGCTAACATACCTATGAAATGTTTTACTTTTTTTTTTTGATGGTACTGGAGTTTGAACTCAAGGCTTTACTCTTGTGCTAGGCAGGCACTCAACTGCTTGAGACACTCCTCCAGGTCTTTTTGTGATGGGTTTTTACAAGATAGGGTCTGGAGAACTATTTGCCTGGGCTGGCTTCGAACCTCAATCCTGATCTTTGCCTTCTGTGTAGCTATGATTACAGGTGTTAGCCACTGATGCCAGACTGTTTTTACTCTTTTGAGTCAGTTGCAAATATACAGAGATTTATTTAAAGGGGATTTAAAATGCTGCATATCAATTAGTGACTCAGAGCAATCCTGCGGAGATAAGAAAACCATGAAAGATATCTGCTTTTTAAAGACAAACTTAAGAAATAAATACATGAAACACTGAGAAGGAAAAAAAGATCAGAACATAGTTAATGTAATTACAGGCTGCATTTACTCACAGAGGAATTGCATGTACTTCCTCTACAGTGCAGGCGTGGTAAAACTGGATAATCAGTTTTTAGTTCTAATCAAACCAAAATGAAAGTAAACTCTGGAGATACTCCACTGTATAAAATCATATCCCAGCTTTCCTCTGTAATTCCTAAACTAACGATTCCAGGTGACAGCTATTATAGATATACTTTTCCTTCAGTATTTTTTCTAAACTTGAGTTGAGTGGTGCACGTTAAGTGGCACCTGTGACCTTGTTTTATTAACACAATCAGACCATCTTCTTTTTGATGGCCCCTTTCTCCTACCTCTGAATGATGAAAAAACTTGAACCTCTTTAAGTCTATAAGCTCCTCAATTTTCTGAAAGGAGGCCTGGGAGTCAAAGGTTTGTTTCATTTGTTCCTAATATGTCAAAACTTATATGTATTTCTAAGAGGCAAGAACTAGAGAAAAGAGCTGGGATGCCTAGCAAGTGTGAGGTCCTGAGTGCAAATCCCATATCACAAAAAAAAAGACAAATAATTTAAAAAAGAGAACTAGAGAAAAATCATTTTATTGTTCCTAAATCGTCTCTAACTTAACATTTCTGCCTGAAGCTAAACAGCTGCTAAAAAAAACCCCAAAAAACAAAGAACTGACCCATCTGTTCCACCTCATTGACCGGATTTATGCCTAAGGTATGCCACAAGTCATAGAACAGAGCACTCTGCTTTCTGCCTTGCTCGAGTTTCTAAGAAGCAAGCAATGGCTTAGGGTTTGCTTGTGCATGTAAAATAATTCACCATTTTTTAATTCAGAAGGCATGAAGAGTTATAATTAACATCCATTCAAGGCCTAATAAGCTACTGGAGCAAACTTCTAAGGGAAATTTACTTAGAAAGCTAGTAAGTACTGCTAAGGAAGGCCTTCCTGTGAACAAGCAGGGGCTCACGATTTGATGAAACCCACAAGTAACAAACTGGCCCAAGACTCCTCGCCTAATGTACAGTTTTATCCTGGGTGGAGCCATCATGCTTGATGTTCAGTGGCCCTCGAATTAGGAGTGTAGAAAACGTCTCTGAACATCTAAGATAATTAGTCTTTCATAACACAAAATGGAATGGCAGAAGAGTTTAAGCCCTAAGAAAGAATTCTGCTCTTCCTTGTTGGTAAAGGAGAATGCCACAAAGTTGAAGGGGTAAGTTCTCTGATTTTGCAAACACTAACTTACTGGTCTTGACCTGCAAGAATAGAAGTGGGGCGGTGCTCATGTTTCAGATCTGAAGATGGGCTTTATCTGCTGAGAGAAGAGAATTTCCAAAACTTCTACTTCAAGAGTGTTCCCCTATGTTCACAAGGTAATGGGGCAAGGTCACGCTGATCTATTGTTTCCACTGATTTACCTGCTGTGTGGTCAACTTCTTCTTTCTGTAAAGAGAAGCATTGGATTCATGTCTAACTTAGCCAGTAAAAGTCTCCAAAGAGCAGTCATTACCATGAATGGTAACGTGACCATCTTCTCACTTCTGACAGCCCCACTTTTTGTGGAAGAACAATCGAGAAAGGGAAACCTACAAGCGAGCAGCAGTGTTAGGAGCTGTCAGTGAGGCAACACTTATTCAACTTATTCAATCAGCTACTGAAGACCCCTGAATATGTGTCGTGTATTTCAACTAGGAAGTCTGTCTGTCACGGCTCTCTCAATGAGACTGCAAGCATTCTTGCAGACGTCAGTCCCTAGGCAATGCTGACAAGCGCTGACATTTTTATCCAGAGGTATGACGGCATCAGAATCACTTGGATATTTTAGAACACTGGGTCTGGGTCCCACCACAGGCCATCCAATGAATCAAGATTGAAAAATGTGTAATAACACAAAACACAAAGTCACCCTCTGGTTGAATTAGGTCTCAGGAAGGTGTGACTTACAACCACCCACTAGAAGGGCTGAAGAGCACAGGCAATGCCAAATGTCACTGAGAGTGGGTGACCGAATCTCTCATTCACTGCGGGAGGGAAGCAGCTGGTTCAATGACTTTGGAGAGTGACACTACTAAGCGAGGAAAGTTACATACAGCCCATGAGGCAGCCATTCCACTCATGGGAATACACCCAAAAGAACTAAGCTCTGATGGCCACTGGAGGACACATAAGAATATTTACCATACCTTTATTTACATTAGCTAAAAACCAGCATCAATGCAAACATCCCTCAACATCAGAAGACGTCCATACAAGTGACATAAGCACATGAAAGAGCATGGGCTGCAGAGCTGTTATATGCTACAACACGACTGAATCTCGGGGACTTAGGGTTGGAAGAAAGAAGCCAGATCCAATGGTTTCATTTATATGGAGTTTGAGAATCCACAAAATAGGCTGGTGGCTCAGGCCTGTAATCCCAGCTACTCAGGAGGCACAGCTCAGGAGGATGGCAGTTCAAAGCCAGCCCAGGCAGAAAAAAAAAAAGAGATCCCATCTTAAAATAAATACCCAATGTGAAAAAGGGCT